TATATATATATATATATATATATATATATATATATATGAAAGGGGCATTCTATTCCACGAACAGCCATGACACCGACTACGCCCATCTAATCCAAACTCCTTCCATTTACGTCCCAATTTGCAGAATCTTTCCCCACCAATGAGGCAGCAGCCATTATTTTTGTGCACATCTTACTGTCCACATCTGAAAATGTCATTTACATTATTCATCGGCCAACACACACTCCTCCACACTTGGGCTGTACATTCATGTATCTGCACAAGTAACAGGTCCGGAACTGGCCAAACCCCACACAATGCACACATTCTAAAAAATATATATATATATATATGTCAATGTCATCATAAGTGTATGTGCATGTCCACATGTGGAGAAGTAAAAACAGGCCTTAACAACTGTAACAGATACACCAATGGTATATAAGCAGCCCTGGATGGAACAGTGTTATTTTGTTTGTTTGTTTGTGGCCACGATGCACTAAATAATGGATTTTCTCTACCCACTTGTCCTATACTAGGTTGCAGGGGTCTTGCAACCCAAGAACATTAATCTGCCCATTCAGAATCTCTTGGTTTTTGCTCACCATGCTCTACCTGGCTAACTGGAGACACACACCTTTGTCGATCAAGTATCAATGTTGCCACTTATGCTTTTAAGAAATAAGGGAGCGTCTCCGGGTTAGCAAGGTAAAGACTTGCTGGCGGGGGGTCACAACCGAGACAAAGCACATTTTATAATGTTTTCATGAAGTGGTTGTAAGATCTGTCCAAGATCAAACAGACTATACAGAGGAATAACAACAGATAGTTAAGCCCCCTTCTAATTCCATCTCCTCTTTGCTGTTACTAAGCATTGTTGCTTCAGTGTTGCTGCGATTTGTCACAAAATTACAATTGATTCAGATCCTTACCCATACAATGTGACTGCAGAGGTTCATTTCTGAGTTATCGTGCTAAAGGTATAAAATGTCTGAAACTACCCTTTTTTTGCTATCACTATGTGGTGCTGCTTCAATTTTGGGGCGATCTATTTCAAAATTGTATTATTTCCAATGCTTCACCCATACAATGGCTGCAGAAAGTTTAAAAAAGATTCGACAAATGGTTTTTGAGTTATCGTCTTAACCAGAAAGTGTCTACGGCGGCAGCAGAATGGTTCACAAAAAAAAATCTGTATTCGCTGTCTGGGGTATACAATAAATACTGCAGAAATGTAATTATCATATCATATCATACAAAATTTAATGTAATGATTATAAATAATTCAATGTTAATGGAAGAGAGAAGATTTTACACTTCTAGGGTGCTAAAGGAAAGAGCTCTGAACTCACTATATATTACAGGACAGGATCCAAAGTATCTGACAAAGAGGTCAACATCAAGGGCCGCACTGGATAAGATCAGCTTCAGTGTAGGTAATTTTTGCACCATGTCTTTCATCTTTGTAAGCAGGAAGTCAGTCAGGCCGTCCCTCTCATGGACTTCATCCTGGTTTACAAGGACAATCACATGAAGCATAACAAAGTGCAAGCTCTCCAATAGTCATAAGCTACACACCCGCTCTGTAAACTGGGTTACCTGATCTCACCCACACACCACAAGGATATAAGCCTCTACTGCAATTGCTCTTATTGGCATTAGTCTCAATATTGTTTACTGGGCCTACACTGCACAAATAGGGGTGTAAATCACTGGCCCCAAGACGATTTGATTGCGATTATTGAAGGAATGATTCCATGCATTTCTTTCACAATTCGATTAATCGATTATTTTGATAACCTAAATACAAACCTTTTTTTAAATTTCATAGAACAAAAATCCTAAATATTACCACGGGAACTTAAACTAATTACACTATTAATGTAATACTAAGAAAGTAGAATCTCAGAACATCAGTCATTTTTGCTGTTGTTATCAAAAGGTTTACTATTGAACCATACAAGGGGGGGGTTGCCAGTGGTGAAACTTGCAGAGTTTGCCGGCGCAAATTAGCGGAACGATGTTACATAGTTTTTTTTTATTCTGTGGGGGAAAAAAAAAATAAAATCGATGTTGGCCATATTTAATAATGAACCATCCCTCCACTATGGAAAATGGCTGATCACTAGTGGTGTAACAATTCTCCAAAACCATAATTTGGTTCAGATCTCGATTTCTGAGCCACGGTTTGGTTCACGCCTCAGTTATTTTATTTTTTATTTTTTGGGGAGGCGAGGGTAAAATAAGAAGAAATGGGGAAAAAGTTCTGGATTTCATTGGAACATTAAACAATACATTAGACTAACTTCACAAAAACTATGTATGCAAAAACAAATTAAAGAATAAAATACTGTACTCTAAAGGATAACCAAGTGGTTCCCAGACTGCTGACTTGACTGTGTCTGGGTGCTCAGCAATCCCAGGTTTATAATCCATCTTGAGCTAATGAAACTAGCCAAGGTTTTACTGCAGGAGTGGTCATGATATAAATAGTTACGTGACACACGCGGCTGGAAAACAATAAAATAGGTGTACTGTGTAAAGCTTACAAAATATGCAGCTGGTCCTAACTTTAAACAGAATAATGATTTTGTGATTTACATGTGCTATGGTATTAATTGTGAAATGAAAAATAAGTTTTGTAGCATGAATAATGTCATTGAGAGCTCAATAGGCTGCACCTGCGGTAGTGGGTTGGGCTTAGGGTGGACACCTGTCTTGCAGTTTCTGTCTAACTATTACACCACTGATCGCCCAACGCAATCATCTCCATTATTTTAGTAGCTGTGCTTTTAGCACTGGTGATGGCAATATCAGCCAAGCTTGACACAATCAGACTAATGCTGATATCTTGGTTTTTAATGAATATCGGCCAACACTGATATGTCAAACAACATGCAGTGTATCTCTATGGCTAACATTACTTTGTACTTAGCTAGTTAGTTACTTCAGGGTCTTGAGCAATAATATGATAAATCGCAATGCCTGCACTACAAAACAGAGGTGTTTCCCAAAAGCATCATAGCCCAAATATTATCTTAAGCATTTGACAGCGCTATGCATTACAAAATGGGGAAAACAATGTAAAGCAAATATCATAAAGTAGCACTTCCTTGTTGATTATTAATGAGCCGTCCCCTGACATCCTACGCTATGGAAATTCGCCTGCCGGCTCTGCTACTTCGTGTGTCTGCCTGCAGAATGTGAACCCAGGAGGAGGGTTATCTTCTGTTATACCTCCAAAAATCAGTTCTGAAGCTAACAGAATGATATACTGGATAGTCAATTCATCACGATGCATAGATGCTTCTTTACACACCTATCCAATAAACACTGACAACTTAAGACAACTTACAAAAACCACAAAAAATAAAATTAATTGAATCGATTGAGTGATTGAATTGCATGAAAGATTATTGTTAGGAATATTGTTGCCCAGAAGGTAAGACCCGAGTGAAGAATGCATTCTACTGCAACAGCCCAATTAGCCATGGTGTGCATCATGAGAATGTAAGTTAAGCCATCCCTCTACATTGACACAAGAACATGCTCCCTACCACAATGATGTGAGTGATGCTTGACAGGGTGGTATCTCCTGCCATGAGGGTACGAAGCAGTACCCCACTCGTGCAAAAGGTGAGGAGTGTTTTGGGGGAAACCCTGAAAGAAAAAGGCACACAGTTCAAACAAAAGGCGTTGTCCCCACTTACTCACAACGGGCACTTTCACACTGCAGGAACCCTTTTCCAGAACCAAAACCATTTTCCAGAACCAGCAACTTTAGTAATGTTGACACCGCAGGAACTCGGCCCAATTGTAGTTCCTCGGAGGCAGTTCAGAAACCCTTTTTCACTCTCTATTCCTAACTAGGCACTGATGATGGGGACTGCAGCTGTAACTTATGTAACTGTGTAGCTGGTGATTTTTAAATTTGTACTAATTTTCAATATACTGTATAAACTGTGTGTTAACACAAAACATTAAAATAATTTTGTTCTTAAAGCAGCAGTAGCCCTGTTGTTGTTATGGCTCATGTGCAAGTACTCATAGGCAAACTACTTAATGGTTAACGGTTACAGTTCAGACTGAGCAAAGTTTCTCAAATATGGTTCCGACACTCACATGACAGGCCGCAATGCATGATAGTCAAACAATGTAAGGTACAGCTTCTGTACACACCATGTCAGTATGCCTTGCGCCAATTTGCAGTACACTATATATTGGATGAAATCTACAGCTGAGAATTCAAACAGCTCTACGAAATGCCAAACTATAGTGGACAAGCGGACATTTCAAACACAGCCTCAGCTCCAACAAGATGGCTGCCGCATGACATCACCTGCTCTCCAGGCGGATCTGGTAGCCCACGGTCTGGCCGATGGTCTCTCCGCGCTCGGTGGCAACGCGCTCCGCCATGGCGATAGCTGCCAGCCTCCGGGGCTGTGTGCAGATAATGCGGCAGGGACTGCCCTGCTCACAGCAGTCATCCAGAATGAACTGCGGGATCTGAGGAATGCGACACACTTAGCTGGGGGGCAGAGCAAGATGACATGCTCTGCTAGACTGGAGCCACAGAAAATATTTGCTAAATAAAGAGATGGAGAATAATGAATGCTGATACAAAATCTGTCACTTTGCTCATATACGCCATTTTTAATGTTAGAAAAATTCTCATTCAACCTCATGGAAGGCATTTGTTTTTGTATTTTCACTTCTAAATTAAACACTTACAAAGTTGTAATCCAGAGAAAGTGCATCAGACATAAACATCAAAAGTCATACACTTACTAATGGGAACAAGATTCTTTTTTTCTTAAGGAAACAGGTCAATGGTCAAGCAAAGGCTTCCAACGCCATTTCGAAACTAAATAAATAATTTGAAGGAGACAAAAAATCTCCAAGAACATTTTTATATTCTTGGATATTTTTAAACTAGATCTGCTGTCATCATTGTCCCGTGTTACCTGTGTTGTTTTTCCAGATCCTGTTTCACCTACAATCAGGACCACCTTTTTATCTTTGATAGCCTTGATGATCTCATCTTGCCGTTCATAGACAGGGAGAGAGCGACGGAAAAACTCCAGTTCAGATTGGCCCCGGGGCTGGGGAACCTGCGGTATCCCGTTATTCAGCCGACCGCTTGTCCTGTTCTTATCCCGGCTGCTGTCTGTGGGTAAAGAAAAGCGAAGATGTGATCAAACGAGTAGTGCTGAGTTCATTTAATACATCCATCACCCAGCCTCTGAAGCTGGGCAGGGAGGCAGGGGTCTGTAGCCTATTCCAGGCTGCAAAGTGCACAAGGCTGGGGTGCTTCCTGGATGGGAGGCCAATCCATCGCAGGACAGACGTACACTATGGGAAATTTACAGATCCCAGTTAGGCTAACTGCATGTCTTTGGACTGGTCTGGGGAGAACACATGAAGAGCAGAGGTGGCATTCAAACCCCTAACCAAACAACGCTACCCAATGAACTTCCAAGCTGCTCATAACATTCAAACTTATTCACTTGATAAGATAAATTAAAAGGTAATTGACATCCCAACCAAAACATCACTACACATTGGTGCTGAACCATGTCAATGCCTGCTTAATCTGATCAAAAAAATGAATGAGTATTTTCTTGAGCTGAGAGAAAAAAAAAAAAAACGTAGCTTTCATATAGATTTTATTTGGTACAAATATATTAACATGGGGGCGGCATGGTGGTGCAGTGGTTAGCACTGTTGCCTCACACCTCTGGGACCTGGGTTCGAGTCTCTGCCTGGGTTACATGTGTGTGGAGTTTGCATGTTCTCCCCATGTCGTCGTGGGGTTTCCTCCGGGTGCTCCGGTTTCCCCCCCACAGTCCAAAGACTGTGACTGGTGTGTGAGTGTGCCCCCCATCCAGGGTTGTTCCCTGCCTTGTGCCTTGTTCCCTGCCCATTACTTCTGGGATAGGCTCCGGACCCCCCGCGACCCAGTAGGATAAGTGGGTTGGAAAATGGATGGATGGATGGATGGATGGATGGATATTAACATTTAGCTCATCATACAGTCTTCACTGAAATACTAAACTACAGACCATGAAAAGAGCAGATTAGCATGCTCACACTATATGTGAATGAGTGCACCAATAATGAGCATGCACTGAGAACAATCAGGAAAGCAGTTGATTAGCATGCTTACCAACATCCATGGCCATGGATACGCCTCGCTCAGTACGCGGCAGCAGGTCTACGCGCTCTTTGCTAGTAACAGGAAATCTCTGCAGGAGGCTGCGCACTACGAGCTTGGCGTTAGGCATCAAATTGAAGGTCATTATGGACTGTGCCGACTCAGAACCATCCTTTTTTCTAATTGTAAGAAATCTGTTTGACCCTTTTCTGTAATGACAATATTGTCCCATTAGCATGCTATGAACAATGTTATAGATGCTAGCACTCTATAATCATAAGATTTTATAAGGAGGTAACAGATACTTGCCCTCGACTTTTTGAAATGAACCCTAAGGACTGGGCCAAGCGATGAATAAAGGCTCGTTCAGTGCTTGTCAGGGAGGAAGGAAATTCCATTTCTGTAAGTAAATAAATCAAACAAATAAAGAAGACATTCACACTTGTTTTACTATGTTGTGGTTTGTAAATTGTAATTATACAGTAGAATGACTAATTACCTTTTTGCTCACTGTATCGGAATCTTTCCAAAGACATATTGACAGCAATTTTAACTTCTTCATTAATCCGGATGTCTTTTAGGCATTGCCCCCCACTGGATCTGCTTTGTCTGGATTTATTCATCGTAGATTTTCCTGATGCGGTGCTTGAATAGGACATGCTACCAACAATGGTCAAGAATGAATGATTCAACTTGCAATTTGTTCACATTTCTGGTAAAATTTGCCTAATAACAGGAACACTACAATGCTTTGAACCTTTCCTAATGCTTCCAGAATATTAAACCTGCAAATTAGATTCAAAACTGACAGAGTATCAGGTGACATTTATTCAATATTCACATTTCCACAAATATATGTTTTTCTTCAAAATCCAGCACAAGCACCTCAATTTTTCCATGAACGCAGGAGGTCAACAACAGAAAGCCATCTTACACAGAAAAATACACATCCCGCATTAAAACGAGAAGAAATACATAGTATTCATTTCGTACAATTGACAGAGGAGACGAGCTACAGAGGAACCATATTAATTTCATTGGAAGGCTAAACGCCGGTGCTGCTATGCTGTTGTCCAATTCATCGTCACGAACTACCGAAAATGACAAACTATGCAAAGCAGTCTCCACCGTGAATTATATGATGGCCTGGTTAATACCTTCGTCACGAATTTAATAAAATAAAAAGGCTAACGTAGAACAGACTGCATATCTAGACATCTATACTTATATGATTCGATAATTAGATAAGTCAATTAAACTTTCGTTGAATGTGTTCAGAGAGAACATTTACCTAATAGTGATATATGCCGCTACAAATTATTATTATTTAAAAACCAAGTACTGTAAAAATAAACATACATAGTTACTTCAAATATCCTACTAGACGAATAGCGCATACAACTTCCTCTCAAACACTCGTCAGCTACAGGCGCACCAATCCCGGAAATGACGTAAGCGTGCATGCCCAGTAAAACCCCGCCTCAGATATGTTATAGCCAATAGGCTTAAGGTGAATTTTCAACATGCAAGTTGTCACTGGGATTACTTAAACTGGCATTTAAATCATCCGTGTTTTGATCTTCCAGAAGGTCTTTCTGAGCCGGGCCGCAGTTGCTATATAAAACAGTTTCACAGATATTGCATTTATACATGTAGGTAGCTGTTTAATATGTGCTATAAATGCGCAAGTATATATTTTTTTGGTTATTTGTATATCAAGCTTTTTTTCTGTAAAATGTTTCATGATGGTATTAAAACCCTTTTGATTAGAGTAACTGGAATGCTCTTTTTACTCAAGCAACTGACTGAATTTTGAATATAAGACATGAAAGCTTGAGGAGAGCAGGCAGCTAATCTTGCTAAATTTGTTTTGTCCTTCACCTACATTGGTAGGAAGCTCATGATCTCCGACTATCCTTATTCTAAAACATGTATTCTTTGTTCAAGTCTACAAACCAACTAGATTTCTGGCTTTGAGATCTTCAAACACTCACTCTAACACACACAACTACGCCATGTCATAATCCTTCTGAGTAAGAACCTTTCCCAGTTTCCACTATTGCAGTCATTGCACATGTGCACTTGAACTCATTACATTGCACATTCTTTTATTTGCAGTTTGTTTGTGTATAGTCTATGTTCTTATATATCTTTTGTATATCTTTTGTTTTGTATATCTTTTATCTTCTTCTGTACCTTATTATTGGATTGACATTATGTTGACTCCTGCACCAAAAGAAATTCCTTATACACTTAATACTTGGTGAATAATAAAGATTCTGATTCTGATCCAGTGAATACTAACACTAAATTATCATCTACATTGTTATGACTTGGTATGTCACTATTATTTTTACAAGACGGAAAATTATGGCCTCAAAATACACGAGATGTAATTTTTGGGTCCAATCCCCATTTTCCAGAATATTGCAGTATGTTTAATGCCATCATTCCAACTATGACATCTGTGGCACCCTCAACTAGCAAAGCTGGCTTTCAATGAAAGTTTTTTCTACATCTCAGTGTTCTGCATGGCATTTGGTTAAGACATAGAAAAGACTTGTAAGCATGTAAGATACAAGTAGCAATTTAAAATGTTTGAAATTGTTACTCTATAGTCTTAAACCAAACCTTTCTCTGTGAGTATAACTCAACCGGCTCAACTTTTATATGGATATTCCTGACAGTGTTGTGTTGTTCTCAAATATCAGAGTACAAATTTGACTTTTACTTCTAACTTCCTAAATTGCAAAATAACATAATTATGCACTTTAACAGGTATCACGCTCCTATTATCCACAGGGCCAATCAATCCTGTATGCAGTGTAAACGGCTGAACCAATTTCACTTTGCCTTCGATGGGGGACACCAGAGGTGAGGCTCCCTTAGGGTGCCACATTGGCTAGGACCCATACTTATAATGATACTATGCATCATGAAATGTTTGATTTGTAATTTAAAAAAAAAAGTCATTACTTTCAAAAATATAGTTTTTGTACAAAGTTTGAGTACTACTGTGAATATTGATTTATGGCACCCGATTTCTAAGTTTGAAGGTTAATCTTGCTTAAACATTATTTGTGTAAAATATGAGTTATGCTTTGCATACTTATGTATTTGCTGCATTTTACTTGCCGTTTCAGAGATTAAAATAATTGCTTCATTAAAACTTAGTTTTTCTTGCAGTATACAACATATTAATAGTGAGTTTTTACACATTCTACAGAAAATGTTGAAATGTTTCAAATTATGATGCCAAACTTTAAAACAAGAGTAATTAATGCATTGAACAATTTAACATAGTTTGTTAGATTTCCTTGTCTGTTTACCTTGAAATGTTGCATATATGCACCATATCTGCCTTGAACCATGTTTGCTTGAAGCGAAAGAGATTTCTAAACCCAAACCTGGCCTCATACAATTACCTTCCAAGAGGAGGTACATTGCATTTCTTTTCATGATGCTTGGTCTAAAGTTCAAATAATGTATTTCCATTTACAGTATCCTAGTTTTTTGAGAATATCATCCACATCCATCATCACCTGCTCCCGTCGTTCCATATCCCCGGGTCACCAACACAGCCATAGCACAGCTTACACATAAATGCATAAACTCCTTTCATCAGGATGTTCAAGCTCATTCCCAAACTAGTCATGATTTTTAGCTATTATAGATCCACAGTTTGGAATTTTGAATGAGCTGTTTCATTTGGAATGCTATTTGGAACTATCAGCTTTAAACCAACACATAATAACTAATATCGATTTAAAAGATAATATATTCTATCGTTGTACACCTGTTTAGTATAGAATAATTTCTGCCACAACTTTCAATCCTGCTGCTACAGCTGTAGTGCCGGCGACTCATGACTGTGACCAGGATAGGCACTAGGAAGATGGACGAACAACCAAATTTCCCCATAGTGGTTCAAATGTAGAGCCCCATCCTATGAGAAGTCTCAGAATTTGACCCTGAAAATGTACCTTACAGTCCACATGCTCGTGTAATATGTGTAGTGCGCAACTAAGTTGAACTCAGGTTCCCATATTTGACACCAGGATAACTGATGGGCATTAACCTGCATTTATTGAATCACAGCACCAGAATAATGAGTATGATTTGCCTTGCAGATAGATCTGTTGATTATAACTAGTGCCTTATGCTCTTCTTGTCCTGTAATTGCAACTTTCACATCCAATTAAAATGGGTCACAGAAATATACCATATCCTGAATTATTCTGAACTTGGTTCTTAGAGAAATTGCCCTGATTTGAACATAGTGAAGTTGAGAACTCATTTATTTTATTGCTTTAAGTGCATAATTGGCCTCGATCAGTTTAAGCTAATAACTACATATCACATACCTATCATACCATGCTGGATGCGCACTTAAGCACAAATTCCTAAAGTAATACTTGCGAACTATTGGCGAAAATCGGGTAATACGATGTTGTCTGCTACTTTACAGTCTCAGTTTAAACTGCATGTGGGAGATGTTATATTTTAGGGTATGTGAATGTGTGCGTGCGTGTGTAATATTAGAAAAAAACTCCAGACTTCCAGAAGCCTTATGAGCTCAGCCCGCCCGCTGTACCTCCATCAACAGTTTGGAGGAGCTTTCTCCATGACCTCGCATGGACGCAGTTCGGCCCCCGGTTCCCCCCCTAGGACCTATACTCTTCACTGTAGCATGAAATGCCTTTATTTAATTGGGAAGTTTTGAGGATTTGATGGAGCGACGGCGTGTTTAGTGTAGCTCAGTGAAGCTTTTTCGGAGAGCGAGCAGACGGAGAGGCGCAGCTGACGTTTGGGGGGGATCATGGCGGCGGAGGTGAGTCTGAGCAGCGGCAGTAGTGACACATCGAGTACGGGCGAAGAGGAGCGGGTCAAGCGCCTCTTCCAGACCTGCGACGGGGACGGAGATGGCTACATCAGCAGGTAACGAAAGAGGTTCACGGTCACCGCAGCCGACGTTTGAATATATTAATGTCTAAAATCCGCCACCGCACACCCGCTTGTTAGCGTCCGAGCTAGCTGCCCTGAAACATTCTGTGGGTATTTTGTTTGCATCGAGATAACAACATTAAGTATAAGATAGTTTTAAAACATGTAAACCAAGTTTAAACAAAGCACAGCAGTTATTATTATTGTTATTTTAGTAAACTTTACTAAACTGAACACAGTAAATGTTGGTGAGGCTGATCAAACGCCTTGGAGGTGATTTTGGACACTGCCTGCTACAGGAATTTAACTGGCTTAATGTAACCCCCCCCTCCCCGAGGTTGAATTACTACTACTAACTTTATAAAGCATGCTGTCTTAGAAGTATTGTATAAACAAGCTATATAGGGGGCATATTTTTCATACTCAAATGCTGAGGTGGTTTATTAGATGACTCACTCGAGACAGTTATTTTTTTGGTCCAAATATTTCTAGGTTGTCATTGTGTTAAATTACACGTCAGTAATTATTGTCTATTTTAAAAAATTAGCATTTCACATTGCAGTTATTTAAGCACTGCGATTAAATTGTTAACGTAGGTTTTTGTGTTTGATGGGTCCTGTTATAAGAAAAGCGTAGTGGAAAAACCGCAATAACAGAGATACGTTAGAGATCGACAAAATTCTCAAGAATCTGGAAGGAAACAAACACGATTCCAAACTGTAAGTGTCCTGGTTGTATATTCATAGTAGATATTGCACTTTTGCAACCATCAAAACAAAACTGGTTGTACGTGTATTTTAACCGGTGTTTCATTTAAATCATGCTACTTGTGTTTTAAATCTCTATTGCTCTGGGAGTAATAACCATAAAGACAACAGCCGAAATCCAGCCTCACCAACAAAATTGTCTGCATTTATTAGTTTGTTTTGGGTTGGGGTTGACTAAATCAAAATGCTTATGGTAATACACACTAAATTTGCAAATAACTAGTGAACTGATATATCCAATTTCTTTGATGGAAATGCCTGCAACGACTTCCACAGTGAAGTAGGTACGGGGGGGGGGGTCTCTTATACCTTTGTTCACAATTTGAGTGATTTGATATTGACTTTTGTTGATATGTTCTGAGAAAGATGGATCCCCCCCCCCCCAAAAAAAAATAAAACGAAAAAAAAGATAACATTGTACTAGTAATTGTAATAAAATACTGTGAGCCTGGAGCTTATCCCAGGAAAGGGAGGGCACTAGGTACAGAGCACCCTGCATGTCAGTCCCTAACAGGGCTCACGTTTTAGAGCTCCGGATTCAGCCGTGCGGAACACACGCAAGCTCCATACAGAGTAAAGGCCGCTTCACACATGGCGCACAGGGTGAGCGGCGTAAATTTTGTCGGCACGGGTGTGTGCAGGACATTGTGCATGTAAGCCCAGATTTTTTTTGTCCAATAGACATTTTATGTGCGTCGACTGCCTATGTCAGGGATGGCGAATCTTGTCCACCAAAGGCCCATTTTGTATACAGGCTTTTGGGATAATAATAATTGTTAAAACCCAGGTATTAGAACTTTTCAGCTGATCAGTCCTCTAATTACATTTTGGCTAGTGATGCACTGATATCGGCGCCGATCCAGACCTGTTTCACAGTTCGTACAACAGCTCTTTCCCATTTTAGATGTGTTCTTCCGACGTTCAAACTGAGCGCTAACGCTGCCACTCGGTACTTTTGCTACTCAGTGAGTGAGAGTGAGGGCAGTGACTTCCGCCTACTGTGACGTCATGCGCATACCCTTCGCAGCAGGGATAAGGGTGATGACCTGGAAGTGTTTTCCGGTTTTAACAGTAGCAGTCTTTATAAAGCAGTCTGCAGTCTTTATAAAGAAGTTTTGAGAGGTGGGAGTAGCATTTAGTGGAAAATCCCACTAAACAAACCACGCGCAATTGTGGGATACAACGGGAGTAATATGAAAAAGCAATGGATGGTTTGGGAGTCGCTGGCTTGGGCTGTTCTGCGCACTCGGTACAGCTTGTGATACAGGAAGGCCTGCTGTAGCAACAAAGTGATACTGTAGCCAGTGGGAGAAAAATTTGGGTGCGTTTTAAGCATTACACTCTTTGGAAGATATTGAAACTGAACTGCAAATTCCTCAAAAACACTTAAAACAAGACGTACAAACAAGGTGCAACAGTGCGTTATGTGTTTCTAGTAGCCTAATTAAAGATTTTTTGCTATACATTTTTTCATCTGTATTTACCAATTTTAAAATATTAATAAATAAATAAATATACTTATTTAAGTAAAAAAGAGCTTGTATTGGAATTGGAATCAGTATCATCAGTATCTGAATTGGATCGGAACTGAAAAATGTGGATTGACCTCCCTACTAATTACTAATCTAATTAGGAAGTTGCAGTGAGAACCAGCATACACATAGCCTTTTCACACCAGGGCCAGTGCCCGTGCCGAGCCTAAATTTCAGCCCAGTCGTTGCATTCACACCAAAAATAACATCGGTGCCGGGCTGATATACCCTGGCTGCAGCTCATTTTTCTGGCTCCGAAAGATTGCTGGGCCAGAGTTGGGAGCACGTGATGTAAGGAGGTGGGGTTAGAGTTGTCAGAGTGGAAAGCAAAAGTTTACGAAGCGATGCAGAGTGAGTTGGAAAAGGCAGGGATTAGAATAATGGAGCAAATAATGAAGAAGATTTTAAAAAATGAAAAAGAATACAAGAAGTGGAAAAGAGCTAAATAACAGCGGTGCTGGCTGCCCTAAAAACTAATATCATGGACTCCGTGTTTGGAAACACACCTGCGAAGCCAGTGACTGGAGCAATGAACTCCGTGACCACTTTGGAGGAATCGGGTAAGTTGTTGTTCTTCTGTTTACTTGTAATGTGACTATGAACTTTTATTATGTTTGGTGTATGTTGGATGCCTTCCAAGGATCCGTCACAAAATAGCATATCGGTTGTGTTGATTGTGTGTTATGACCAGGGCTGGGCTTCATATAATTGTAACGACAAGTTAGCTAACTAATAAGTTACCATTAGAATTTGACTTTGGTGTACCAGCCAGTGATACATAACCTACAATTATCTGCTTCGTTACAGCAATGAAAATAACACTCACATCTTGTTTGTAATGTCAGTAATTTAAGTGAAATTAACCAATCTGTCTTTCATGTGCTTGTTATAACACAGGTGAAGAGAATGCAGATGGACCAGAGCATCACCTCTTATATTTATTTAATCCATGTGAAAGATTTACATATTTTTTGATTATTTGTAAAATGAAAGTTTACCAAAATGTTTTGTTCTTTTCTTGTCTTCACTCTCCCTAAGTAGTTCATTAATGCATATTTCGCAGTAGTCCCATACTTATTCTATGTGCATTTGCGCTGATGTCACAAGAAATTACTATGCATTACCATGCAACCTTTATGTACTTCATTTGTGGTATAAAAGGCTAAAATTAGTGCTGTCAAACGATTAAAATTTTTAATCAGATTAATCACAGGGTTGCTGTGGATTAATTTCGATTAATCACGATTAAATATCATTCATTTTTAATCTAAATCGTATTTCATTTTGCATGAGCAAAGAGACTCAAGAAAAAGGGAATATATATGCACTTAACATGTTTATTGAACATCTTGAACATGAGTCGGATGCATTCCATCTGCCACAGAAGTGCAATACCATGGACCCATATCAAAAGCAAGATTTTTTGCTTACCTGGACAACTTGTCGGATTTAAGGTACCTCAGTTTAAATGGTCTTTATCTTCGTTCACTTACAATTAGCTCGAACTACCATAAATCTGACAAATAATCCGACTAATCGTGAAATACAATTCTAGCCCAGTTAATTGCCATTGTTAACAATATCACTTGATAACACATTACGTGCGGTGCTTTACATATAAAACTCCATAGCAACACGTCCACAGATAAGTTGGACGGTATAGTGTGTGCGACTGATTTAATGAGCCACAAATGAGAAGTAGTGCTTAAACAGTATAAAACTACAACTTTCCCTTCTGTTGATAAAAGGCGCAGCCATCTTGGATTCTGAACTCGGGATCCTCTGTGCTGCTCCGAGATCTCAGAGAAACAGGAGCGCGCATGCCGTCACTTCCGGCTTCAAAACTCTGGAATCCGACTAGGAATACGAGTTCCCAGGGCAAATGCAACGCACCAAAACTGCCCGAAATGGGTTGACAGAGACATTTCAGGGATTTTGAGTCATTTTGCGCTGCAGATGGGTTAATTGCATTAAAAATTTTAATCAGATTAATCATGATGATGGATTAATCTACATTAACCCGTTAATTTTGACAGCCCTAGCTAAAATGCTTGGTAATTTCTTGTCATAGCAGTGCTAATGCAAATAACCACGCATTTGTGTTGTGACAAGAAACGTTTGCTGCAGTTTTGCTTTTAAAGGTGAATGCATACATGCTTGACAGTTACGTGCATCCCCGCATATTAGCATGCATGACTTGCAGTTCATCCATGAATGCATCTCTGATTGCGACCCGCTTCTTAACTGGAACACACAAACGGTAATTCTTGTTGGACTGCTGAAGAGCAGGAATAAGTCGTTAGCAGATGTACTCAAATGACTCGCAGGACACCCAGAAATTTTGAATGAACTGTGTAAACCCAGGAACAATAACAAATAAAGCTAAAATATAATGTAAGCATTTGCCGGAAATTCAAAATAGTCTTGCTTTCATTGCATCTCACAGGATCCTCTATTTTCGTCTTCCCTGCCAAAATGGTACCTCTACCTCAGCCACATGTACACTCTGACATCATCGTTCTACCGTTTTGGCACCAAGTGCAGCATGAATGCGAGACGGTTTTTGGTGGAGCCAATGTGTGCTCCAGCCCCAGCTCCGGCGAGTGCTTGATGTGAAAGGGGTATCAAAGACCCTGTCTGTATACGATTGGCCACCCCTGGTGTATGCGCAGGCATTGACTGGCTGTTTGCTGTAGGTGGCAGCACTGACTTAAACGGAGCAGAGGTCAACCAAGGAAGAGTTTGGGGAGAGTACTTGTTGTCGTAGTCATGGTTATGGCTATCAGCTGCATGAGGAGGTGCAGAGGTACCTGCATATCTATTTTTTTTTCGTACTGTCCAGACAATATATTGTGGTATACAGCATTTTTTTACGGCATCGCTATTCTGGCATTTTTAAATCTCGGCGATTAAAATTTGCCACGGGGGGTCCCGGCTAATTTTGTCACAAGGATTTCAAAATGCCATATAATATTGCATAGTAACAAGTTTACAACTGTTCATAAAAAGTTTACCCGTTTCACTACTTGTTTTGTGTTTATTGCAATACGTCTTACATCTCCTGGTCTGGTGGAATATCACTGCTGTATGCAACCACTGACTGTAACCATCTATCCACAGACAAGTGTAGTGTGTGCACGAGAGTCCACGTGCATGGAATATAAGCTCACATAGAAAAGTAAAGTATGAACTAGGCTTTAGGATGGGATTCTAACAGTAGTGCTGGATGTATGGATGCTGAGGATGGTTCAGCACCTCCTCTGATTGGTGGTTGTAATGCAGTGTCGGAATACTGTAGGACAGGGGTGGCCAATCTTATGCGCAAAGGGCCGGTGTGTATGCGGGTTTTCGCTGCAGCTCCCTAATTAGATTACTAATTAGAGGACTGATTAGCTGAAGAGTCCTCACACCTGGGTTTGAACAGCTGACCTACAGGTTATCCCAAAAACCTGCATACACACCGGCCCTTTGCGGATAAGATTGGCCACCCCTGCTGTAGGACATAAGGCGCTTTCCCACTGCAGGAACTTTCTTTAAGAAACAGGAACCTTTGTAGTCTTACCACTGCAGGAACTTGGTCTGATTGTAGTTCCTTGTAGGCAGTTCTGGAACCCTTTTTGGTCCCTACTTTTTGTTCGACCACAAACTGCTGGGTTGTGGCTTACAGCAATAACTTGCTGATTGGTTAGCACATACACAGGCACTAACTTGCACCTCGACTCTCCTGTTTCCACCAAAATTGTTTGTTGAGGGTCAATATTCATGGTTAGGCTGCTATAGACAAACCATTGGTCACCAGTGCCAGTCGTCAGTTTCAGTGGTGCCAGCAGTGCAAATCTTGGGCTGTGGACAATGTGAAACATGTATTGTTCTCTGATGAGTCCACCTTCACTGTCTTTCCCACATCCGGGACAGTTATAGTATGGAGAAGCTTCAAAGAACCTTACCACCTGGACTGTTCCCTACCCAGAGTGCAGCACAGGGGTGGATCAGTGATGGCTTGGACTGCAAAATCATGGCACTCCCTAGGCTCACTACTTGTTCTAGTGTCACTACCAAACCTTTCTGGAGGACCATGTTCACCGAATGGTTCAGACATTGTAGCCTGAAGGTGGTGCAAAGATCAGAATGATAATGCACCAATACACACAGGAAGACTGGTGGCAGAATGGTCTGATGAACATGAAAGTATAGTTGAACATGGTCAGCAGATATGAATATTATTGAGCCACTTTGGGGTGTTTTGGAGTCAGGAAACATTATCCTCCCCTAGCATCACATAGTAACCTGGCCACTGTTTTGTAAGAGGAATGGCTCAAAATCCATCCGGTCACTCTGTGGTACTTGTCATTCCCAAGACAAATTGATGCTGCATTAGCAGCAAAAGGAGGTTCTACACCATACTATTAAATTATCGGGGACTATAACTAGGTGTTTCATTGCCCAACCCCTGTTTATGGTCAAATGTGACCCAGATCACCTTGGCAAGTGGTTTGAGTGATTGGATTACAAAGGTGGTTGTTTACACTCGTATTTAGCACTATCCAATTGTGGTCTGATTGCCCAAGATGCATTTTAAAACCAAGTGTAAACAGGACCCCAGAAAGACATGTATACAGACTCAAACGGGCAGACACATGGACAGACATTTTAACCCTGATTTATTGTTGCTAGATATTTTTCTTAACTGAAATCACAGTAGGTGATGTGAGTTCACAGTTCTTGATGTTTGATGTTTTTTTTTCTTCAAACATTGAAATAAAACAAGTTCAGTTGACTTTGTTGACTGTCCTGCTTGATTTTCAGTGTCAGCATGGTCAGGTGGTGTAACTGGTTTTGTGTCAGTTGGCGTAGCCAGTATTTTTCAGAATAATATGATATTGTGTATGAAAATGAATGTGGAATAAAATATAATCCTCTATTGTAGTGTTGTTGTTTTTTAATCATTTTTACAGACAATATCGGTCATAGTGCAAAACAGAAATTAATAGAATACCGGCAGTCCCCAGGTTATGAATGAGATCCCATCCCATTCCTCTTTAAGTTGAATTTGTATGTAATAATACAGTACATGATAATAATAATTATATGGGGCACCACTTTACAATGAGACTCCCTTTTACCATTTGTAAATGGTAGTAACTCATTAATAAAAAGAAAACTTTGTTATAACTTGTTTAAAATTGCCTGTTAATAATTTACAAAGTGTTACAACCTAATTAATAACCAGATTATAAACCATTCATAAACTCTTTATATGGGTAGTCTTATTGTAAAATGGTACTTTACGTCAAGCCAATGAACCACCGAATGCATGTTTTTCAGCACTGATAAAAACTGCATCCATGCAGGAACGATCTTCTGATGGTCTGTCGCCAGCTGAACATGGAAGGCTCTGTGGCTGAGATCATGGACCAGCTGGGGGCGGATGAAGAGGGCAGAATCTCCTTTGAGGACTTCATGTGCTGCCGCATGAGACTGGTCAATGAAATCCGAAAGGAAGAGGGCGAGCTGTCACTGCGGTCACGAGATCTTGACGGGAAGGAGTTCCTGGAACCTGTGTCCTTCTGGCCATCAAGCACGGAAAACATCCTGGGTAAGTCTGTGCACTGATTAGAGGTTTAAAAACTGACATTTTATCAACAGCAGGCTAACATACCTCAGTCGTTCCGAGAATAATCTGAAAGACTAGAGAGAAATTCACTGGACTTCATTTGGGTTTTTTGACTCATTTTGGGGTAGGGCTGCACGATTCTGGGTAAAATGTTGCAGGCTACATCAAGTGCTGAATTTCATTCATACTGTAATATGAGAATCTGCCCATACTGTATTAAACTATCATACTACTAAACTGAACTTTGCGCAGACTGACAAATAAGTTGCAGTGTTTACCACCAGGTGGCAATGCAGGCACAAAAAGCGAAGAACCATTCCGCGTTCCATTCCATTCAACCCCAAAGGTCCCCAGAAAATGTTTGTCTGAACCTCCTTTTGAGTGTGTGCTTGTCATATTGTGTTGCATGTTTCTGTAAATGGTATCAGTATTCATTTATTCCCCCAGTCCACCCCACCACTTACTGTGTATGATGCTGTTTATCAGGGTTTTCAAAATGAGTTACTAAAACGGCCATCTTTAAAAAAAAATCACTAATGAATTTGTGGGGCAGCTATGACTCATTTATTTACTTAATTATAATATAATCCAGACTTTGTAGTTATTTGGTTGAAATCTTTGCTATAACCTTTGCAAATGGAAGCATTATTCCTGAAAATTCTTTTTTTTAAATGGAACTAAATTAAATAGCCTACAAAAACTTCTTTGAAGATATGGAAATAAATCAATTGTGTCCACTGGCCTGATGAATTATTATTCATTTGCTTTTGTCTGACGTTATCCACTGGATCCTTCTTTTAAACGAGAAATGGACTGAGTGTAGTCCCAAGAAATCCAGACAACCAGATTACAAGTAGAATGTTGCACAGCTGTTGAACTTGCCAGTGGAGGAGGGGCAGGAAGAGGAAAAGTACAGTGCAGGCTTGCATAGGATGATCCCCACAACCCGGGAACATGTATTCGGCATGTGACATTCCATTACATCATTTTTGAGTCGGAACGCACAATGAAACATGGCAATACATTTCTGGACACAGGTGGAACCAAGAGCCACAAGTAGATTAGAAGTAGGTTAGTCTCCCTGTGGCATTTGAGGGGCTTTTGCCAGGAAATTCAGACTGGCCGAAAAAAATGACAAATAAGACTATAGGGGTGTTCATCACTACAGAAATGCAACCATACTTGGTTGTAGAGACGCGCAATTTAGTTCATAATTGTTGTTATTCAGTCTTATTTTTGGAATTTTTATTTTACATATCTATTTTTATATGCAAGTAAGTGTCTCTTTAGATTTGTTATGCATTGCCTTTGGTTTACGATTGTTCCTAATTGTTTATATTTGCAGTTTTAGTAATAAATATTTTCAAAACAAGGTTTTTCCTTCTGTACCAAAATTGTATCGAATAGTGAACCCAAAACCAAAGAACTGTGAATTTTATGCACTGTTACACCTGTATCCCTGGGCCATTTTTAACAGGATATCAAATTTATTTTGCAGGCCTTAAAGAGCCATGCTCCGGGCCGCGGGCTTTGAGTTTGACGTGTGCAGTGTATGACGTATCTGTATGTGTTCTGCTTTGTCTCCATGCAGTGGCTCTGTCCAGGACCAGGGACGGCTGGGACTGTGACACCGGAGCGCGGGACCTGCAGAGCTCTGCCCCCCAACAGCTGTCCTTTCAGCAGCTCGGCGTCTCGCAGAAGCTGCTGGAGCAGAGGGGGGCCGCTCTAGAGCAACAGGCTGCCCTTCACAAGCTCCTGATGCAGTCCCCCTCCCGCGCCCCCCCCCTGGGAGCAAACTACCTGGAACTGGCCAACATGGTGAGTACCCTCTTCCTGTGGGATTTCGGAAATGGGTTTTGCAATTTTCAGATGCCTTCAGGCTGGTGGTTGGTGCTGCAGTGTCTGCTTCTGACCATTGGTTATAATCCCTTGGGAGAAATGCCTCCTTTGCAATACTTATTATGAATGCTAAAGCCTTTGCCAGGACCAGTGCTAAAGAAAATGAACTTACTGGCCATTGTATGGTACATTTACTCATTCGGCAAATGCTTTACCCAGAGCCATGAACGAGTGAAGGTCAGACAGTTGATATATCGGTCGAAACCTGTAATATTTAGCTGTGTAGCACTAAAATGAAACATTGCGTCAAGAAGATTCAGCTTGATAAAAATTGTGGTGAGGTGTGCAGAAAATATCGTAATGCTGTTTTGTGCAGTATAATCTGTAGTTGCATATAAATGATGCTTTGACTGTTACTGGTTCTCTGGGTTGAATTGGCTCTAATTTTAACTCTTGTGGCGATCCGAAAATGAGCAATAAGATATGAAGCTTGTTGCAATAATAGTATGTTTGCCGTTCTTGCAAGTTGGGAAGTTGTCACATTGTCACAACAGCGACTTCTGTCTTCCAGTCGGCAGCCAGAATGCTAGACAAAGGAACTTCATGGTGGGAATTTCAAGCTTCCCAGCTTATGTGGATGGTCAAACAGGACAAATGTTTGCCATTGCTAATTGCTATTCAAGATAGCAAAGTAAATTAGCTATCTTGAATAGGTATCAAGGTATCAATAGGTATCAAGGTTGTCGGCAATTACGAAAGCAGCACGTTGTGGTTTTTAATATCCCGGTGGAAAGTCAGCCTGACTCTCATTCTGTCCAACTTGTCATGCGGCTGAACATTAGGCAGGTGAATGCTTGGAAGCGGACATCGATTAGTCCATGTCCTCAGTTTAACCCAGACTCAGACACTTTCCACAGTAACATTTAGCTGGTATTGGATGGGTGGTGAAAACAAAGTGTTATGTTTAGATTTGTTTATAAGTGTCTGAGTATATAAAGGAAAATATGTGATCAGAACTAAGATGTGCTGATTGGAAATGTGGAATTTAAAAAGGAAGGGAGAGACAGAGAGTGAGAGAGTGAGTGAGAGACAGAGAGTGAGAGTGAGAGACAGAGAGTGAGAGTGAGAGACAGAGAGTGAGAGTGAGAGACAGAGAGTGAGAGAGTGAGTGAGAGACAGAGAGTGAGAGAGAGTGAGAGAGTGAGTGAGAGACAGAGAGTGAGAGAGTGAGTGAGAGACAGAGTGAGAGTGAGAGACAGAGAGTGAGAGAGTGCCCCCCATATTATAGGCCCCTGACAAGCAGCAGACTCACCGATGGCGCATGTGTGTGCAGCTGCAGGATTCCTGTGTTGCAGCATTCAGCAGTGGAGGAGGGAGTTCCACTTTTTTGCCATTTTTACGCAAGAGATTTGGCTGTTTGTCCTGCGGCGATAAATGCTGCATTTGCAGCTGATGGGTTGGACTGTCTCCAGACTGGGCTCAAGGATTCGGAAGAAATACTGATTTAAAGCATTAATTGCATTGTTGTCCTGCAGTCAGAGAGTTGCTGAACTGATGAATATAGCTTGTTATTCATGCTCTTCTGCCACCCCAGACTTCTGGAATGTGAGGCAGTAGATGGTGTGAATCATGAGCTCTGGGGCATCTTTGAATCTTAGAAATCTGTCTTCTGTGGCAGAAGTGGGTTTGGTGCCAGATTGTCGTTCTGTCAGCACATGTTTGTATTGTGCATGTAACAGCAGAGACGGGGCTACTTCCCAAAATGAAACAAAGTGAAAGGTAAAAAGCAACAGGAAAGGCGGTCTTCTTTATTTACGAACCTTTGTTCTCATTGTCTGTCTTTGTTGTAAGACAGGGCTTCCAGATGAGAACGTTTACTTCTATAGTTACTAAAACCATGTGCTGGAAGATACCGGAAGTCTTATTTAAATGGAAGCATATTGTGAGCCCTGAGTCATGTGTGCACCTTCGCACATGTGGCTTTAATTCATTAAGTCTGATGTCTTATGAAAAGGTAGCTGTGTGTTTTCTGTAAAATCAGCCCGGCCTCCTGCCTTTTGCTTCTGGGTGTGGAAAACGTGCGAATGAAAACCCTCCCAAGTTTCTCTGGAATGTGTAAGGTTTTGGGAACAGGCTGCTGCCACCGCAGATGCTTTGATTGTTAAGACGATAACTCAAAAACCATTTGATGGATCTTTATCAAACTTTGCAGAGGCATTGTATGGTCTAGAAGCAAAATTGAAGCAGTGCCACCTAGTGGCAGCAAAGAGAAGGGCGAAAGCAAACAATGTTTTGGAATGCTTTGGATCTTATTACTGCCTGACAAAAACATTATATGGATGAAGATCTACACCTGGTTTCATGTTGAGACAAACTGCACCACATAGTAATATCGAAGAAGAGGCCAGCTCAGACACTTGATCTGGTCGGGATGATAACTCAAAAATAATTTGGCCGATTTTTACCAAACTTTGTAGGCACATTGTAAGGTGAAATGCACCACAACTGAAGCAATGGAGCTTAAGTCATTTTAGTCATTTGATATGAAATTGACCAAAACAATGTCACAGTGCCTGTGCAAGTTCCCCAAGGTGAACTTTTTCCATTTGTCCTAATCCCATCCACCGTTGTCGATTGGCTGAGGGGTTGGTCAGCAAGACTAATTTTGCAGTTACTGGCATGCTTTGCACCCAGTGCCAGATTATGGACCTCAGAGCTCTAGAGTCCTCAACATGTCTTCATGTTCAGTGTGAGTTGGAGGCCCTCTGCAGATACAGTGTGAGTTGGAGGCCCTCTGCAGATACAGTGTGAGTTGGAGACCCTCTGCAGATACAGTGTGAGTTGGAGGCCCTCTGCAGATACAATGTGAGTTGGAGGCCCTCTGCAGATACAGTGTGAGTTGGAGACCCTCTGCAGATACAGTGTGAGTTAACCACCTTGGTAAATTCAATGTCTATTGGTACGTTCGGTGCAAAACAAGGGTGTTTCAGAAAGAGCTTATTAATTGCATGCTAACTATGCATTTCTGCCTATCAGTTGATGTGTGTATTTTGTGTTCTTTTGTCCTGCAGTGGTGCAAATCAGCATTATTTGCTATAAGTCTGCTAATTTAGTTGATATTTGCCGAAACACCTTTTTGTTTCTCAGTTACACTTCCAAACCAACTTGTATTTTTTCCGCGGGCCAATAAGTGACTACCTATTCAGCTCTTCGCTTTGCCTGTTGTAGTGTTATGTGTTAAATAGTAATTTGATCCCGTATATGATTTTATGGGGTGGGCTTTAACATTGGTAAAATGTAATAGTGGATTAGATGCCAGACTGCATTTCATTGAATAAATATACAGGGAAAATAAATCTTTTGGTCTTGTACCATATCATTCCTAGCTTGCTTTGGCTAACAGCTACTAGCTGTCAGTGATTTAAGTCTCTTGGCCTCAGTGCAACTGTGAAACTAAAACTGCAAACTGCATGTAATAAGCTTATGTGTGCAATATTGCTTTGCTCAACAGGGTGGTCAGTGAATAATGATGGTGCCGTTCAGTCAGATTAGCTGCTGGTGTTATATTTTAACTATAATAAAACCTGTTAAATTGCATGTGTGTCAATTATTTATTTTAATTATTTTTAATGCAAATGTACAGCGGGCACAATGAAGAGGTGCAGACATTAAGTTTGGTTTGAGTAGAAAATACTACGTGGCTTGGAAGGGTACGTCTGAAATGAAAATGTTTTGAGACGTGCTAAATTAGTAGATGTGTGTCGGACTGCCAATTTTGCATCTCTTTATAACAACTCGTGTATATGTCATTTGCATCACAAGTTAAACCAGCATTTGTCAAAGTATAAAAGCAACTCGGAATATCCTCTGTCTCGCTTGGTTCTGCAATTTGTGCTAGTGGTGATGCAGCATAGGAAATACAAGCCGTCAGCATATCAGTATCACACTGCGGGAGAAAAAAAACCCACGAAATATCATAATGTCGGTATATCATCCCGCCCCGAGTGCACACTCCCCTTTTCATTCATTCAGTAGAGGGCCCTCCAAATCACATTTACCTAGAGGCCTCAAAGGGCCACGATCCAGCCCTGCTTAGACCCCCAGCTTCACTCTCAACAGTCCTCCTTGAGCTCCACAGATACAGCTTTGTGCTAACAACCACAAACTCAGGAGTTTGAAGCCACATAAATTGCACCTCTTCTCTCTACTGTGTCAGTTAAACATAGATGAGTTACACGTAACAGTGGGAATTGGCAGTGACTGCCCAAAATCAATAATACGTTGATATATGTTTGCGCATTTGGTATGTATTGCGAAGGCAAATTTTGCTTTTTCAGGTCTACATTTATAGTAAAGACAAGGGCTGTAAAGATACACATTCGTCCTGTGACTTTTGTTTACAGCGTTTTTAGTTTGCAGATTGCAATGAAACAAATTCATATATTTCTTGACATAGGCGAAACCTAAATTCACAAGTAGATGTTCAACATGGAAAAAATTGTGCTAGTTGTAGCTTTGAGTCGACTATAGCTAGTGCTAAAGATTTTGGCTTCCCAATAAATTACGGCAACACCAGAGAGAGAGAGAGTGTAGTGGATAAGACTAAGAATATCTGTCGGCTGTTATACTGAACTCAGATGTTTTTCTGGAAACATCATCCGAGTTTCTGCTTTCGCCAGAAAATTCAGATTGGGCTAAAAAAATAAAAATAAATCCAATTTATCCTAAGTTCAGACTATATGATTTTAGCCCCGATTTTCCATTTGCCAAAAGTTTTTGCCGATCGTTAACAAAAGCCCCAGATTGGAGGCACGTCAGCATTTGATCGCTGTTAGATATGACCCGACAGCCACTGATATGTCGAAGACGCCCATCAGATATCTCGCAGGCTACATACCTGGACCTGTTGGCATCTCCAAATCCTGTAGTAATCCTGCATTGAACAATCCTGTCCCAAATGCGCTTTCGTCATTACTGTTCTATCAGATCGCAGATTAATGTCCTTATTTTGTGGCTTATTTGGAAACACAGTGACACACAGATTTATCTGCAACACAGCGATTTTTACTTATTCATGCTGCACTTATAAAAAGATAGTGCCAAATATATAATTTTAACAAATATATGTATTCTTCCATAGAGCCCATTATTGTTCAAAATGCGATGGATGGTGCAATCAGAAAGTGACATACCTTGACCCTGGAGCTCAGCTCGAATGGTTTTGGATGGTTTCCTTGGCTCTTTCTCTACCATCCGCACTATCCTTCTGATCACCCTTGGGTTGCATTTCCTCTTGCGTCCACATCTTGGGAGATTGGTTACAGGCCCATGAACCTTATACTTTTTAATAATATTAGCAACTGTGGTCACAGGAACATGACGCTGCTTGGAGATGGTCTCACAGCCTTTACCTTTAACATGGTTATCTATAATCTCCTTTCTGAGCTCCTCACACAGCTCTCCCCTTTGCTATCTCTGGTCCATGTTCAGTGTGGTGCAGACAATGATACCAAACAACACAGTAGCATGTTCTTCCCCTTTAAATAGGCTAAATGGCTGATGAAAAGCCAGAAGGCACCTGTGATACTAATTAAGGTTAAACATTTACTTTGAAGCATGACTATAATCCAAGGATAAATAGTCTCTTTAGGGGTATCAACAAATCTGTCCACACTATTTTAGCATATCTTTGTGAAATAAACAGCAGATTATTTCTTTTCACAATGTTATTGGTTTACTCTTTCACATACTAAAGGCATGCAGGTATACATTAGAGAATTGCTTTTAATTGAATCACTTTTCAGGAGAAATTATTCGTTGTTTCAATGAGCTGTAAGGGTACCAACAAATTTGTCCACATCTATAGTTAGATCAATCATAAAGTTATGCACAGGATTTTTTTAATGGTTATTCAGCAGATGAACAGAAGAAGGCAGAAAACACTGCTGTAACCGTTATGCTGATATTTTCTGTTTGCAATTTTTTTTAGTGAAGTGATGGATATTTTTTTTTACAGTTTTGTGTGTTTGCATGTTTTTTTTTTGTCATTCATCAGTGAGGCGTCCTATCGAAATCCATATGACAAATCGTATCCATACTGATTCCCCTGTGCCCCCCAGCCCCCCCCCAATACTCTCCTTATATGCAGTGCATTGCAATAAGCTGAAAGTACACAACAATTGCACTTTAAATTATAAATTATAAATTTAATAGAACATATTATCGTTCTCCTTGTGACTGAATGAATCCGAGCAGTCATATTGTGATGCTTGGCAATATTAGGGAATGTGCTGGAGTAAAGTGAGGATTGATTTATAAAAATTAAAAGAGTAACCATTGAAATGCATTTGAGATAAGTCTCCTGTAAATCACTGACATAAGTGCATAATTTACCATGAACGAAACTGTATTTTATTGTTATCCTTATAGTTCTGGTAGTTGTGTCGATATGGTCATAATTTTGGTAAAATATTGTTTCAAAAGACCTTATTTTTTTCTGATTTGTAAGAACTATTGTTGTTTCTCTGTGGCATTTCCTTTATGTGGAAGTGAAGTTCAGCCCAGCTTCAAGATCGCAGGGTGGGGAACGGTTTCCTACAGGAAGTCAGAGGAAGGCAGGGAGTCCGCTCAAAATGTTTACCTTTAACAGAAATGCCAGAAAATGTGCAGCAAGCAAGATAGACACTAGCCGGACCGTTTCACATCTGTTTTTACACAGTAAGAGTAAACATTCTTAAATGACCATTATTCTGCTTTTCTCTCGTACTGTTTCTGTTTATCTCTTAAGTTGTAGGGTGTCGTTCTTCTGTCGTGTTATATTATTGTTCTTTTTCTCCTTTTATATGTAAAAGTTTGCACATCTGTCTTTATACAAGTAATTTTATTCATAAGACTAAATTAGACTAAAGTTGACTAAATTAGTAACTATTTCCATAATAATAACATCTTTAGTAAAATCCGTTCATAATGAGTTGATTTCTTTGTATTTTTTTAAAATAAATGTATCTCTCGTTTAAAAGTAGAAATAGCTTGAAGCATTTTAGATAGTTGTATCTGAAGATTCACATGCTGCATCAATGTTCATTTTTAAATGTTTTATCTCACTGTTGGTCTATTTTGAGATTAATTTTCAGTTACAGTACGGTTGTTTTCCTAGCTTTTACAAGACACTTCGGTTGTCTTGCAGATTCTAAAACAAACAATTTGAAATGAGCCTGATCATCTGACCTTTACCCTGTAACAGTGAAGTCTACCTTCTAAGCCTGTCTCACTGTGCAGATTGAAGGCATCCATGCTGCATTCCTGCAGGACTTCTTCAGTTTGTAGCCTCCTTGTGTTTTCCTGTGTCAGTTTGTAGCCTTCTTGTGTTTTCCTGTCAGTTTGTAGCCTTCTTGTGTTTTCCTGTGTCAGTTTGTAGCCTTCTTGTGTTTTCCTGTCAGTTTGTAGCCTTCTTGTGTTTTCCTGTGTCAGTTTGTAGCCTTCTTGTGTTTTCCTGTGTCAGTTTGTAGCCTTTTTGTGTTTTCTGTGTCAGCTTGTAGCCTTTTTGTGTTTTCCTGTGTGAGTGACTTAGTGCTGCAGATCTCCAGTAAAAATTAACTTGGTTACATGTTAGTATAGCTACCACTGCTCTTTAAGTTGGAATGTGTCTGCTCTGCTGTCCAGGTCTGGGATGTGTTAAGCTAGATGAGAAAGTGTCATATTCCTCTTTGTTAAACCAGCAAATGTTTGTGAATGACTGGCAGCCTTTTTGAGGAATGTTTACCATTTGTTTTATTTTTGTATTAACTCCACATTGACTTCATGGATTCATTTTATTGAGCACAGCACTCAGTTTTGCCAGGTTTTATGTACCAACATCATTTAACAAATGAGGAAGTGAATTTTTATGAAGTTAGTTGCTTTCCATGTTTGAATCTGAATTCACATGCATTAAACTGTACTGCATAGGCATAAAACTATACGTCGCATATGCATTAAACTATACATCGCATGTGCATTAAACTATACATTGCACATGCATTGTCCTGTCTGTTGGTTTGATTTTTGATCCTAGGAATGGCATGAAAGCAAAAAAACACAAAAAGGCATCCATAAGATGACCCATGTCATGAAGGAAATTAAAAAGAAATATATTTTAATCAATATATGTAACTGAGTGCCAGAAAAAACCTAGGGAGTATTAAGGTCACCTAGATGGCTTTTAATCATAAGAGTTCAACGAGTAATAATAAATATGAAATAAAATTAAAGTTCAGTTTTGTGGAAAATAACATAGAACTGTAGCTGCCATATAAGAAGTGCTATGCACAGACTTCTAGAGAGTCAGGAGCAAAACTCTTGCTGTCATAATTTTTCTTTTTAAAATTGTTTGCGTTGGTATCTTCAGCACAGCAGTTAAACTGATATTTTGTTTGTTTGTATGTTTGTTTTTTACATGGAAGTTATTACCTCGGCGCATGCTGTAGACATGAATCTGAAGTAAAAAAAATGTGGTCTGAATGCAGCTTACAATGCTTCCTCAAAGTTAGCCACAAATAATGAAATCTGTTCTTGGCATCAACCTAGAAAACAATAGCTGCATTGAATTAATAGATTTTTATGCTGTAAACATGAAACAGAAGTAAAAAATTAATCTGAATGTATTAATGCTTGTTAGTCACAATTAATGAACTCTGATCTTGCTTCAACCTAGAAAACAGTAGTTGTGTTAGGTTTATAAACTTTCAAAAGTTTAATATACAAACTCTTGCTAACATTTTTCACTACCTTTATGAGATTTTTAGCAAGTAAAATACCGTCATAAAGCAATCGTTTTTGGATTATTTAACGCATTCTCCAAATATGTGTTGTGAAATGGTTGATAATAAACATGGAATGTATTAGCTCAAAATAAGACATTTCATGTAAAATGTTAACTTGCAGTGTGTGTGTGCGTGTGTGTACGTGTATGTGTATATGTGTGTGTGTGTGTGTGTGTACGTGTGGGTGTGTGTCTGTGTGTGTACGTGTGTCTGTGTGTACGTGTGGGTGTGTCTGTGTGTACGTGTGTGTGTGTGTGTGTGNTGTGTGTGTGTGTGTGCACGTGTGTCTGTGTGTACGTGTGTGTCTGTGTGTACGTGTGTGTCTGTGTGTACGTGTGTGTCTGTGTGCACGTGTGTCTGTGTGCACGTGTGTCTGTGTGTACGTGTGTGTGTGTGTGTGTGTGTGTGCACGTGTCTGGGTGTGTCTGTGTGTGTGTGTGTGTGTCTGGGTGTGTGTGTGTGTGTGTGTGTACATGTGGGTGTGTTTCTCTCTGTTTTCAGTGTGTGACACTTGCAGCTCTCTCTCTCTCCCCGCAGCTCCACCGGGCAGCCCTGGCCTCGCTGAAAGGTGATGTGGTGGATTTGAACAAGCGTCTCCTGCAAAGTGAGAGAGAGCGCGAGGCATTAGAAAAGACCCTGGCAAAATCACAGGTGAGTCTACTTTTCGAGGGTCACACCTCTGGCTGCAAAGGATAGTAAGCAAGGAGTCTCGTGGGACAACCAGCCAAAGTCAGATGTATAGTCAAACAAACCTGGCTTCTTCGTCAGAGCCTTTCCTGTTTGCCTAAGTCAAGTTGTGTACCATAGAGAGATCTTTAAAATGTATCCCCACTCCTGATTGCATGTTTTAAAATATGAAGATTTTTGCATTATTTCACTTAACCAATTCTACTCTATTACTACTCTAACAGTGGTGGTAGTCCGTTCATTAGTGTAATAAAGAGCAACATTATATTAATTGTAATATACAATCTATGGACAAATGTATGGCGACACCTGGTCTTTACACCTTCAAGAGCTTTTATGACATCCCATTCTAAATTCATAGGCATCAGTATGGAGTTGGTCCCGACCCTGGTAGCTATAACAGCTGGCACTCTTCTGGGAGGGCTTTCCACAAAATTTTGGAGTGTGTCTGTGGTAATTTTCGTCCATTCATGCAGAAGAGCATTTGTGAGATCAGGCATTGATGTTGGACTTGAAGGCCTGGCTCACAAATCTCCATTCTGGTTAATGCCAAAGGTGTTCGGTGGGGTTGAGATCAGGACTCTGTGCCAGCCAGTCAAGTTCGTTCACATCAGATTTCTCCAGCCATGTCTATTATGGACCTTCCTTTGGGTACTAGGGCTCTTTCATGGTAGAACAGAAGAGGGCCGCCTTCCCCAGACAGTTTCCACAGAGTTAGAAGCACAGAATTGTCCAAAATGTCTTGCTATGCTGAAGCATTAAGAGTTCCCTTCACTGGAACTAAGGGGCCGAGCCCAACCCCTGAAAAACAACCCCATACCATTATCCCTCCTCCACCAAACTTTACAGTTGACACAATGCAGTGTACAGTGCAAACTTTCTCCTGGCATCCAGCAAACCCAGACTTGTTCATCAGACTGCCAGAGAGAGATCCGTGACTCGTCACCCTACAGAATATGTTTCCACTGTTTAGTGGTGGTGTGCTTCATCTGACGTTTGGCATTGCACTTGGTGATTGCGTGCAGTTGCTCGGCAATAAAAGCTCATTCTAAGAAGTTATTCAGTCAATAACTACAAAATTGTTGTACAGAACTTTTACGCATTCAGCGACACCGCTCTGTTACTTATGTGATCTGCCACTTCACGACTAAGTTTTTAGTTTTTTTTAATTGCTTCCACTTTGCAATAATACCACTTACAGTTGATCATGGAATATCTAGCAGGGAAGAAATTTCATGAATTGACCTATTGGATGGCATCCTATCAGAGTACCACGCTTAAATTCACTGAGCTCTTCAGAATGACCCATTCTTTCAAAAATGTTTACATACCTGACTGCACATCACACAATGCTGTAGTGCATCTTGTATGCAATGGTAGTATGAATAGTAGGGGTGTAACGATTCATTCATTTTCTCGATGCATCGATTACAAATCCTGCCGATGCAGATGCATCGATCTTGAAACATGGATTTTTGAATCGTGAATCGTTTGTTTCAGTCAATAATTGATTTAATATTTTAAAATCGAATGAATCGCGATTATATAACGAATATACGATGGATAATTTAAAAAAATAAATATAAATCTTAAATTAGTTGCGTCTGCGACGTAAAGTGCACCCTCACTGCAGTGGCGCAGTGGATTACGTCGCTAATCTTCATTTCGCGCCTGTTTGTTGTCATCTGAATAAACGCAGCAGTGCACGATGGAGGGCAACGAAGAAGGAGAAATTTGCAAGGCACCAGCCAACATGAGATCAAAGGTTTGGGATTACTTCGGTTTTCACAAAGTAAATGGAAAGATTGACAAGTCCGTTGCAGTTTGCAGACATTGTAAATCTGAGTTAAAATACTTTGGAAATACAACGAACAGATGAATATTTCGCAATTTTTCAGAGAGCACGTCACAATATAAACTATACTAAAATTTACAGAATAGAATCGTTAATAATCGAATCGAATCAAATTTCATTGTTAATCGAATCAAATTGAATCGTTCTGATTTGCAAAAATCGTTTTTGAATCGAATCAAAAACCTCTGAATCGTGAATCGAATCGATTCGCTGTCTACCCAAAGATTCACAGCCCTAATGAATAGGTATCATTCTTAAGTTTTGATCTATCCTGATTAGCCTCCAGGTTATCATGATATTTACTGGAATTCTAAAATTTTTAAAAGCACAGAATGTATAATATATTGCTCCAATTTCAAAAATGCAATGATGAAAGTACTGCCTATAAATTGTCCAGGGCAGGGTTACAGAAAGCCTGAGACTCTGCCAGAATGCATAGATCACAAGACATCCTGGATGGGATAGCTGTCATTTACAAAGTACAGTCAGTCCTGCTACAGTGTGACAAATGTGTTCCTGAAAAATCTTGTGTTAATTTAAATTGCATACTAAAATAAACATACGCAATAGGGATAGGTGAATGCGAAAAAAAACGTAAACTTTGATTAACATGAAATCACCAATAAACTAGCATTTTATAAAATACATACTGCATTTGAAATCTTTTCAGCTATAGGATTTCAGGACAGAGCAGCTACTCTGTTAGGAACATTACGGCTTTTTGGTTGAGGGTGTTAGACTCACTGCTGTTATTAAGACTAATGGCACATTAGTGCAAACAAAAGGGCTGCATATGTCGAAGTACATCTTACTTGGCAGTTAAAGGAGTTTGACGTTCATTGGTATGGGAAAAGGCTGGTTCTAGTAATAATTGAGGAGTTGTGTCTTTTACCAGGCACCTTGCATGAAGGCAGCGGGGCACCTATATGCCGATTTAGTGAATGTGTCTTACTTTTTAATTTATATATATACACAGACGCTCCTCTACTTACGAACTTTCAACTTATGAAGTTTCAGACATACGAACGAAGAGGACTGCAAGTCCAAATTGTGTTCCTTGGGCTCCCGTTTCCTGTCCACAACATAATTTTTTTTTCTGCGCCCCAATTCTGCCTAGTACGATTTCTGGCCACTACTCCCATCACGCAGCAGCGTAGCTTGTGTACTCCCAGCATCCCAGTTCTTTGTACTTGCGTATACCCTTAAAATGATGTTGAATAACGACTTGCGAACATTTCAAGTTATGGACGGCCGTTCGGAGCGTAACTCATTCGTAAGTAGAGGAGCGTCTATATATATATATAATATATATGTAACCCGGTTACTTTTGTTTAATGTGTATAATTACACAAAATATGTTTAGTTTGAATTTGTTCATTTTTTATAAATAGGATGTTGACTTCCCGTGGTGTTAACAGTATAATGCAAATCCATATGGTGCACAATCACATCAACAATGACTGTGACACTGGTGTACTGTCCAACCCTATCTAAGACATTGACCTGTGCAATGCGTAGATGTACAAAAAGTTTGATTCTCTGACATTTGAAAACCAGTGCTTCCCTTTTGGGTGGGACGCCTTAGAGGGTGCAGCTCAGTGCAGACACACTTGTTGCTCTGCCCCAACAACAGCTTTGCCAATACTTTTATCTACGGAAATCATCACATGACAACACCAGTAATGTAGTGTCTTTAATGTTTTTTTAAATTATTATTTTTATTCTGAGATGTAGAGTGAACAATAATCCATTTATGTTTTTTTTACATATTTGTTAGATTTGTTATTTAGGTTTACACAAGGTTAAAAATAATAGGAAAACACACCATATGAAGGGATTTTCCAACTGTATTTCTTTGTTGTATTTCTTGCCTTTTAAAATGCATGGTTGCATTGTAGTTTCTGAATTGGTTTCTTATTAAGTTGGGGTATTAAGCATGGGGTAATTTTCCTTGGGTCATCTTGAGCACTGATTAATCTGGGTGTTGGTTTATTGCTTAAATTCAGTAGAGAAAACTGTCTAAAAAATGTTTCTGTATCTGGCAGTGTGGAGTAATCTGGTTTTAATATTTTAAATATATATATATTACAACATCCAGCTGAATCTAACTAGAATAATGGTACAGTCACAGCTAAATAAAACTGAAGTGTTTATTGGATTTGTCTTGTATGTGTGAAGATGGTTTAAGTGGATGCATGTGTTTGTATAAATGAATTTTAGTAAACTGAGTTATTTGCATTTGCTGGCAGTGTGAGCAGTCCCACCTGATGCGAGAGCATGAGGAAGCACAGGAGCGAAATATGCTGCGCTATGAAGAGCGAATCACGGAGCTGCACAGCATCATCGCCGAGCTCAACAAAAAGATCGACCAGCTGCAGGGTACAACCATCAGGTCAGTTAACAACACTACAAGCTCAAATAACACAGGGAAGTTAGAGTTCTGGATTAGACCTGGATTAGATTACACTTTATTGATCCCAGGGGGAAATTCTTGTAAGATCTAAAGCTTCAGAAATTAATCTTGATTATACTTTGTAAGTATTACAATTATTACAATTATTTTAGCACTTCTGGACATGACATGATATTTTAAATCTTGGTGCTGAGCTAACACAGTTATGGTACTTTTCTCGTCTTTTGTTTTTTTGTTGACCTTTTCATTTAATAAGTTGTGAAGAGACTTTTTATGAAGATGGTGTGAATGCAATATGTCCCCCATTAAAAGACTGAACAGAAGCATTGTGACACATCATACTGCACTTTAGTAAAGATCAGTAACTTAAGTTTATAAATTTATTTTAAATGAACCATCATATTTAACTACATTTTTATTGATTTGTGGTATATTTTTTATTGTTCATTGATGTTGTTTTATTGAATTGTTTATAGCAGAATCTTACAACTCGCCTCAAGTGCGACCCCTCTGGTGGGCCTGTCAAGGTCCAGCTGCTTGTTCCATAACTCCTCAAATCAGTAAAATTACAGAGTAGAGAAGTAAAAGAATCTGCCCCACATGATTAAATTTTACAAATATACACACTTTTATTCAATGTCAGACATTCAATCATAATAGAAATTGAATGATGAAAATGCATGTATTTATGAAACTCCAAGATGGCAACCAGTCAAAATGTACACACCCATTTGTTTGCATAAATAATAGCACCCACTGCTCACAGTATGCTGTCATTGATGGCTGTACCTTGTACCTTTCAATATCTGTCAGTTCTTCATTCAAAAAAAACAAGGTAAACTGGCTAAACATATCTTATCTGTGATGTTATCTATGTTGTTTTCCATACCGGTCATCTGGGACTGCCATGGGGAAACGCTTGGCTGCAGTTGAATGCTGTGTCCGATTTCCACGGAACTTGCGTTGAATCTCCTTGCTGATAAAGCAGCTATCTTGGAAGTTTCAAATCTATAAGCAGAATAGGGTTATTGGCATGGGAATCTAAAAATAAGCTTTGCCTGAACAGGAACTGTCCAGTTCAAGGGTTGTTTACTGGCATAAACAGCACTTGTAGTAATTTGCTTGTGTTTGGTTAACATCTCGCGACTATCTTGACTAAAAACAAGCCCTGGTTTGTGATTCTAGGACAGGTGGTTTCTGAGGTAAAAGCATTTTAAACAAGCGGTGGGCCCACTGGCGTGCTTGACAAGAGGCTTAAGCGGAGTTTTTATGGGGTGGCTCAGCAGTTGTAGGGTTGAAGGTTTGAATCCTGCCCTCGCCTTTTGCATGGCTATTCTCCCTGTTTTGTGCAGGTTTCCTTCACCTACCCTGGCATTCTCTCCCTGTCCAGTCTGTATATTGCCCCTGGCATCCCTTCCGCAGTGTTCTCCAGCTGTGTTCCCTGTGCTGCTAGGGTTCTGCTTCAGTATATTATACCACAAGCCACACATGAGGATGTGCATCAAGTTTTGAATATTCTAATGAAAGATTGTGTTTTTTCAGGAATGTGACCCTTCATGTGTTGTTTTTTTCAGGGAGGAAGATGAGTTCTCTGAGCTTCGCTCTGAGCTGAGCCACAGCCAGCCGGAAGTAAATGAGGATGGACACAGTGTGGACCTGGACCAGGACCAGAGCTCTGTCTCTGTGCCTGAGAACCAGTCTACCTTAGTCACTGCAGATATGGGTGAGATCTTTAGTGCGATATTAATAGATCATTTTGATAAGTTGCCTACCCACAGTGGGCAAGGCAGCGTAAAGAATCGACTGTATTTCAGCAACTATTCATTTTACTATTTCTTAGCAAACAAAAGGACACTGTTTGCTTTCTGTTTGAGCAAGTATTAGAACAGCTAAGAGGCCTAAACATGCTGTGAAAGTTGGTGCTGTACACTGTGGTTCCAGCATCTCTGAAACACCCTCTGAGTACCTTCGTGCATTAGTGCTTAGAACTTACAAAGAATTGTGTGATGACACTCCTTGCTAATGAGGACAATAACAAGACTCATTAAAGCTAACTGGAATGCGCCCTCACAGCATACCGCCCACACCATGTTTTCCTGTGGGGATGGTGATCTCTGGGTGATGTGCAGTGATGTGACACGTGTTTGATGTGTCTTCCACATACATGGCTTTTGGACAACTGCCAACCGGGTTTTTTATGGCAGTGTTTACTGAAGTGTACAACTTCTCTGACCTGAGGTGTGGCTCCTTCCAACTCTTCCTCCTTTGCTTCTCTGATCAGCGCTCTCCTTGCATGAGTTTAGGTGGACGGACATTTCTTAGCACGTTTGTTGAGTCAAACTCTTTCCATTTTCCAATTATGGATTTAATGGTGCTCCATGAGATGAAGGCTTGAGATATTTCATTATAACCTGTCCCTGATTTGGACAAAAGAGGAAGCTCTCTGAAAGGGATGTCTGGGTTCTAACCGGACTGTATCCAAAAAATATAAAACCATAACTGCCCAACTTGCTGCTGAGTTAAATGTGCACCTTGACGCTCCTGTTTCCACCAAAGTGGTTTGAAGGCTCCACTGGGTCAAAATTCATGGTTGGGCTGCTATAGCCAAACCTTTGGTCACTTGTGCCAATTCCAAACATCGGTTTAAAAGGTGCCAGTAGCGCAAGTCTTAGGCTGTGGACATGGAAACGTGCATTGTTCTCTGATGTCCACCTTCACTGTACAGTGTGGAGAAGCCCCAAAGAGGCTTACCAGCCGCCCTGTGCAGCACGGGGGTGATCAGTGATGGTTTGAGCTGCAATAACATAGCATTCCATAGGCCCACTACTTGTTCTGTGTGTCTGGATGGGTCACCAACAAGGACTGCTGAACCATTCTGGAGGACCATGTTTGCCCAGTGGTTCAGACATTGTACCCTGAAGGTGGTGCCGAGTATCAGGATGATAATGCACCAGTACTCCCAGTAATTCTGGTGACAGAGTGCATTTGATGAACATGAAAATGAAGCTGAACATCTCCCATTGCCTGCACAAGCACCAGATCTGAATATTAATGAGCCACTTTGGGGTGCTTTGGAGTAGCGAATCAGCAAACGTTTTCCTCCACCAGCATCACGCAGTGATCTGGCCACTGTTCTGCAAGAGGAACGGCTCACAAACCCTCTGGCCACTGTGCAGGGCTCGTATCTGTCATTCCCCAGACGATCCAATGCTGTTTTGACCGCAAAAGGAGACCCCACACCATACTAATTAATTGTGGCGGTCCTAAAACCAGGGGTTTGTTTCATTGTCCGAAGTCCTTTATACTTTTTATACTTTTTATACACCCATAATATACATAACCCCAGTGTTAAATAAGTTGTGCGTGCGTGCGTGTGTGCGTGCGTGCGTGTGTGCGTGCGTGCGTGTGTGCGTGCGTGCGTGTGTGCGTGCGTGCGTGCGTGCGTGTGTGTGTGCGTGCGTGCATTATCCAAATGTCCCCACAACATGATGAATCCTTTTTTGACCATGATGAACGCATGTTTTTTGAGGTCACTCTCTTTCCTCTTGAAGTTTGTGATATAGTTTTGTCACGAGTATTATTAGTAATATAACTAGTAGCGTTAGTGTTATTATTAGAAGGTGCTGTAGATTAGTGTTGTACCTCAGCCAACAAGGGACAAAGCAGTTCTGACTTTCTGATAAGGTGTTTAGCTGCCTAATGTATCGACATAATGAGCTCTTTATACTTTGCTTTTACTTGCATACAATTTAGAGAATGTCTGCTTGAGCCTGTGAGGTTTATATAGTAGTTATGTGATTTGATCAGCAGGAGGACCATTGTCCATTCACGTCACTGTGAGTGACGATACTGAAGGTCCAAGGACTGACTTGGTGAACTGTTTGGCTTTTTATCACAGATACCTGCAGTGACCTGAACTCGGAGCTGCAGAGGGTCCTCACAGGCCTGGAGCGTGTCGTGTGTCGCAAGAAAAGCACATGCAACCTCTCTGTGGCCGAGGTGGATCGTCACATAGAGCAGCTGACGACAGCCAGCGAACACTGTGACCTAGTCATTAAGGTAGTGATATGAATGAGTCTATTATGCCAACTCCTACGTGTGTTTTTATTTATTTTTACTTTTTCATTTTACGTAATGGCGAACTTTATCAACCTCCTATGCTGGTGATGCATACGAGAGGTTTGGCATCATTAGTGTTTTTCTACAGAACAATGTTGCAATTATCTGTACTTTTATATTTAATGAAAAAGCCTTCCACAGAGAGGAAAGAGCTCTGATCCTTTTTCTGTAAAAGGTATTTAAGTTTAGAGCATATTTCTCTCCATGCAGAAAAGATCCATGATAGTCTCTAGGCTAAAATATTTGGGTACTTAGAATTATTTGATTGATCTTCAGATGATCTTAAGATGTAGCCCCTGGGCCACTAGCAGTAAAATGTTCCGAAAGCGTCAGTGATCCACCGGTGTATTTTACTGTAGTTCTCAGGTGCCTTTTTTGGTATGCAGTGCTGTTTTGATGCCAAACAAGCCTATGGTCAGTACAGCCAAGCAGTACAATTTTAGTCTGATTTCACTGCCCCACATGATTCTGAGATTGAAGCACTGCAGTAAGGGGTCCATTTGCTTGTGCCATCCCACTACCCTGCTTTTTCAAGGTTTCAAAAAAGAAACACCTCAAAATTAGTACTGCAATAATAAACCTAAAATATATACATTTTGAATTAATTAAAGGTTTATTTGATTCTACCTGAATGAATCCGTGGCCTTGGTTTTGTCCCCCTGAGACTGTGGAGGAGATCGAGGGAGCCCTAGGAGGAGACCTTTACCCCAGCCTGGCGGAGGAGCGCCTTCACTGGGAGAGGGAGTTGAAGACCCTGAGGGACGAGAAGGAGAGCCTGACCACCGTGCTGTGCAGCAAGGAAGACGACCTGAACCGCACCAAGGCGACCGTCAGTGCCGTTCGCGAGGAGCGAGACCGTTTAAGGAGACGGGTGAGGAGATTCAGCAGAGCGACAGCTGCTTTACCGCTCTGCCGTGATGTTGCCTTCATAGAGAAATGCCATCCCTCGATTTAATAAGAAGCAATATCGGTGACATATGTTCAGTGTGGGAACAACCTGGAGTCCATAAGCTTGGCTTAAGACACAAGCAGAACAGTAATAAAAGGCATTGCATGAATCGATCTAACGTTGCGTGGATTAATCCGCCAGTGACAGATATTTTTGAAGGATATGTCTCTCTCGTCCGCTAAGGGTCTCTGAATCACAGGTGGTTGAGGTGTTGTATGATGTTGCAGGTTCGGGAGCTGCAGACCCGTCTACAGAGTGTCCAGCTGACAGGTTCCTCCAGTCCCGGGAGGCTTACCCAGACCAGTCGGCCCATTAACCCCAGTACGGGTGAGCTCAGCACCAGCAGCAGCAGCAATGATATCCCTGTGGCCAAGGTGAGCACCAGACGGGTGTGTCATGCTCGAGAGTGAATGTGGTTCATTAGGTGCACGCCAGCTCACATATAGAAAACCAACCAAAGCTTATCTTGCTGCTTGGGTGTTTCAATAGACTGTACACTTTGGTCCAGCTAGTGAGAATCTGTCTGATTTTTATTTTTTTAATTATTATTATTATTGTAGTTAGTTACTTTTCTTGTGAGCATTGCCGCCTCATACCTGGGGGTTAAAATCGCGCCTCTGTCTTTCTTCCATGTGCTTCCGGGGGCAGGCTGCAGGCCGCAGTATGGAGGAGGGACACATGGGTGGATTTGCATGAGAAACTGAGATCTGTGTTTTGACTACTTTTCCCACAGGTAGCAGAACGGGTCAAATTGTCCAAAACCAGGTCCGAGTCGTTATCCATAGAGAGGCCTGTTCTGGGCTCAGAGATCAGCAGCATTGGGGTGAGTGGGGACTCTGACATGGTCGCAGGGCCGAAAGAAGCATGGATGATTAATACCCTTTGTTCTTGTTTGTCAGAGGGGACTTTGGGCTTTGCCGGTGTTTCTGGTCACAGCTTGCAAACGCTTTTTATAGCCAGCTAAAAGTCTTTCAATTCTTGTACTTGGGATTTTCTCCCATTCTTCCTTGCAAAAGGCTTCTAGTTCTGTAATATTCTTTGGTCTTCTTGCATGCACAGCTCTAAGGTATACCCACAAATTTTCAATGATGTTTAAATCAGGGGACTGTGATGGCCATTCCAAAACCTTCAGCTTGCGTCTCTTGAGGTAGTCCATGGTGGATTTCGAGGTACGTTTAGGGTCATTGTCCTGTTGTAGAAGCCATCCTCTTTTCAGCTTCAGCTTTTTTACAGATGGTGTGATGTTTGCTTCCAGAATTTGCTGGTATTTAGTGGAATCCATGCTTCCCTCCACCCGTGCAATGTTTCCTGTGCCACTGGCTGCAACAAAACCCCGAAAGCATGATAGATCCACCCCCATGCTTAATAGTTGGCAAGGTGTTCTTTTCATGAAATGCTGCTCCTTTTTTTCTCCAAACATGCCGTTGCTGATTGTGGCCAATAAGTTCTATTTTAACTTCATCAGTCCACAGCACTTGTTTCCAAAACGCACCAGGCTTCTGTAGATGTTCTGTTGCATACTTCTGACGTTGGATTTTATGATGGGGACGCAGATAAGATTCTTCTGCTGACTCTTTCATGAAAGTCTTGTGGAACGGTGCACCACCACTCCTGAGTCTGCTAAATGTTCCTGCAGGTTTTTTGCAGTCAAATGGGGGTTTCATGGGTGCCATGCTATCCCGGTCTTTCTGACCAGCATACGAGCAGTTCTCTCCGAGAGTTGTCTTGGTCTTCCAGATCTCATCTTGACCTCCACAGTTCCCCTGAACTGCCATCTCTTAATTACTTTTCTCACTGTGGAAACTGCAAGCTGACAATGCTTTGCTATCTTCGTGTAGCCTTCTCCTCCATTGTGGGCATCAATAACTTTCATTTTCAGAGTCTTACACAGCTGCTTAGAGGAACCCATGGTTGCTGAGTGTCCACAAGTGTGTGCACAAGGTTTGAAGAGTCAGAGTATTTGTAAAGCTTTGAAATTGGCACCAGCTGACATTTACTAATGGCAGCTTTTGCCATGCATCAGATCTAACGAGCTGATTAAGGTCTGAAACCTTGTAAAAAGAATCTGAGACTTTGGAACTCTTAGGGTGCCCAAACTTTTGCAGAGTGCCATAATAATGTTTTTATTTTTTTTATCTTTGTTCAATTTATGACATAAAAAGTAACTATGCATCAATGTTTGGTGAACATATTGTGCATTTTTTCCATTTCCTACAGAGACTGTGTATCTTTTCCATTAAAAAATTACCAAAATATGTTATTTATCGAGAGGTGCCCAAACTTTTGCATACTACTGTATAACTGAAAGGGAGACAGAGCAATGGGGATATATCTGGCCTGTTTTAGAACCAGAAAGATCCTATCAGTACCTTTCATAGCACATAATATATTTGTAAAACAATCATTCTTTCACTTCATCAGTAGTACATGTTCACCAATGTGCCAAAACATCAAGAGCACCCCCAGGCAAAACAAATAACAATTTGGCCCTAATCAATGTCACTCAGATCTTTATTCCTTCCCATTTCCTCTGCATTCAACAAGTTGACCACGAGTACCGAATATTAGCTTACTGGCTAATATATCCCAGACCTTGACATGCGCCGTTTTACAAGATTCAACATTAATCAACATTATTCAACATTATTCATGTCATGTGGAGGTGGTCATAATGTTTTGTCTCATTGGTATCTATGTATATATACCACCCAGGTGTCCAGCAACATCGCAGAGCACTTGGCTCACTCGTTACAAGACTGTTCGAATATCCAGGAGATCTTCCAGACCCTTTATTCTCACGGCTCTGCCATCTCTGAGAGCAAGATCCGCGAGTTTGAGGTGGAGACCGAGCGGCTGAATAGGTGAGTCTGTAGCACATTACTGAATTACGTGAATGATTATTTATTTTATGGTTTAGTTTCGATACGCTGGCTTTAGTGTGTGTTTGTGTGTGTGTGCGCGTGTTTGTGTGTGTGTGTGTGTGTGTGTGTGTGTGTGTGTGCGTGCCATGCTATCCCGGTCGATTCCTGGCTCATGCCCCGTGTTTTCTGAGATGACCTACAGAACCAGACCTTGCTTTGGGCCAGAACCTGTAGAAAATGTGAAAATGAATGAATATGTAGACTATATACCATTTTTATTGTGGATTTGTGTTTGGGTTTTATTACAAAAAATCCATATCCAAAAACGTTAAAGAACATTTGCACATTTATAAATATATAATTATAATGACAGTGAGGTATTAAGCTATCAAAAATTACAGTATGTTCAGTTTATTCTCATTAATGATTTAATCAGAGAATTTTTCATGGTAATTCAAGATATCTAGTTCCTTTTTTTTGATAAATCAATGTGTAACTTTTTTTTTAATTGTATTTCCAGTCGAATTGAGCATTTAAAATCCCAGAATGACTTGCTGACAATCACGCTGGAGGAGTGTAAGAGCAATGCTGAGCGGATGAGCATGCTGGTGGGGAAGTATGAGTCCAATGCAACAGCCCTGAGGCTGGCTTTGCAGTACAGGTCAGTCTGAAACCCATATACAGTACTTCACCGTTTATATCAGCCACCTGATGGGGTATTTCCATTGTGGAAGTATCTATGCTTTTCAAACACTGGAATATTGTTTACATGTATGTATTGAATCAGCCTTCTGTATTCCAGAACCTTCCTGGAATGGTTAGTTTTCTCATGTTGGTCTTAGAAATCAGTTGAGTCATTTCTGCTTATCTGAGTATAAATATCTATTTTGTGTCCTCTACTGTAAACAGTGCAGATCTCCTGCCAATATTCTCACTCCGACACTCTGAATTTCAATGTCAGCGAGAATACACTGTAAAATTACTCACCTCACAAAATGGGTAAATGGCAACAGGTTTTGTTATTTGTGAAAATTTGTGAATGTACAATATTTGTCTGTGTCTTAATTGTTTCGTACCTGAGTCATTCCATATCAAAACACCCAGTTTGACAACAAAATTCCAAAATTCTGACTCCTCTGAAATAATTTACAGGTGCTCCTATACCAAACTTATGGAGAAATCCCAAATATTTGGTCTGTCTCTTTAATAATTTGACACTACAGCCTTTTGAGATTCTAATTAGTTTTATGCATTTCGTTGACTCTGTATTTCAGACCAACTTCCAACATTCATAGCTCTTTTGATATGGCATCTACAGCTTTGAAAATTTGTGTCTACGGCTAACAATTCAAAAATGTAGATCAGGTGTATCTTAAATACTTCTTCTCCTACAAGGCTCTGAAAATGGCAGAAAATTCAAAAGGTGTGCGTGTAAATTATGTTTATATTACATTGTGTGTTCCTCACAATATAATAAAAACCTGTTTTTTTGACATTGTGCGTTCGTTCGTTCCTGTGGTCTGAGGGAAATGTCCTGTTCTTCTGCAGTGAGCAGTGTATAGAGGCCTATGAGCTGCTGCTTACCCTGGCAGAGAGCGAGCAGAGTGTGGTCCTTGGCCAGTTCAGAGCCGCTGGTGTAAGCACTGCTGGTGAGTGACAGTGACTCGTAGCTTCAGCTGCATTGCACACGTTTGCAGATGGCCTGGCTTATATCCGCTTTGCTTTTATCAAGTGCACCAAGCTAAATTGCCAAAATATCAGGTTTGTTCTTTCAGACATTAACTGTTTTTTAAATTTTATTTAAAGCAGAATTTTGTTACTAGAAAGCTTTTGTACTGGGATAAACTCAGAGCTAAATGGCCCACTGACCAGAAACATCTCATTTCTCATGATCTTTTTGGTGACAGATGTTAATTTTAACCATACTTTATCATACATTGACAGATTTTAAGAACATGTTTTTTTACTCATAAATAACATCAGTTCTACTGGTGTTCATGTTGCACCCTGTGAATGTGGCCTCAACTTCCTGTACCACTTCCTACCTCCCAGTAGACCCGTCCAGCGAGGAGAGCATCACCCAGATTTTGAAACGGGCTCATGACAGCCGGCGGACAGCAGAGAACGCTGCCAAAGATCTGCTGGCCAGGCTGGATGGGAGCTGTTTGGGGACCTTCGCTGTGTCCGGCTGCAGCATGCAGCCTTGGGAGAGCCTGTCCTCCAACAGCCACACCAGGTCAGCAGATATACACCAGCATGTCAGAATGCTCAGTCCTTCTGGTTATTTTAGCCTACTTGCTAGGTGCAGTAGTAATTCATTTTCCATTCGTAATGTAATAAAAGCCAGTAATATAACTTACCAATAATGTACTAAAATTTCTGAATCAAAAACGTATTACATTTATTGACTTTTATTACATTAAGAATGAAAGTTATTACATTAATGGTGGTCAGTACATTACTGGCTGCTACAGCTGAGGAATACTGGGTTTGTCTTGGCTAGCTATTGTTTTACTCTGTAACTGATTAACTACCCCGGAGGCAAAATTAGCATTTTACACAATAATGTGAGGAGTCAAACTGATTAAAAAAATTAGAGAAAATTGATATGTTACGGTAATGAGTTTGTGACTCATATGCTTTATTTCCACCAATGTGGTGCCAGTGCTATTGCATATGTATTTTTAACCTTTATATGCTAATTCGTACTTCATTTGCAGTATAAAGGTTAAAATGCACGATAATTTCTTGTCAAATCAGCACAAATGCACATAAAATACGTATGCATTCACGCTATTACAAAAATCGATTGCCGCGCGTTTCGCTTTTAAAGGTGAATGCATACTTGCGTACCAGTTATGTCAATCCCTGACTATATTGGCTTATAAAACTTAAACAATAAGAAAATGAGAAAAATAGATAAACAGTTGATAATGAAAGGCTGATGCGTGCTATCAAGCATCACAGAAATGAACACAGTTCCAACCAGCCACTTGGTAGTCCTTTCAGAACGGCTAACCTTTGTCCAACCAGTTCACAGCCATTTGAGTTGGTGGAGCAACCACATATATTGTTTTGGTAATAAACATGTGTCATTCGCTCAAAGAAAGTGACGGCTCAACAGCTACAACACATTTTTATAAAGGTGATATTGTGGTCAAGCAAGGTAAAATCACGTCAGTGGTATGCTGGTACTGTGGTGGTTTTAAATTCCAACACACAGCCGACTGGTACTGTATATTGTAAATGGTGCAGAAAACTTGTAGCAACTAAAACTGGAAAACTACAAAGTTATTAAGTTATTTCACCACTTGAAGCAGTGCCATCTATTAGAACACACGGTATGTGAGTGTGTATGGTCACAGACACCAGCAATTAGGGAACACACCCCTGGTCCCCCATGATAAAATATACCAAGGGGGGGCAATCAGGAAATACAAAATATTGGACAAATCGCATCCTGTATTTGTTCAGAACACAGCATTTTATTTTTCAATATGGGATGATCCTGTAAAGTATGGGACAGGTGACAACTCTACCATGTCAAACCCATGGAGTTATGGCCGACAGCGTTATTACCAAGATCCCCTGGAGCATAAACTCGCTAAGACTCAGGGGTCATGGTTGGTGAAGACCAAAAGCACATCATCATCTGCAAACAGCACCCCCTACTAGATGGCCTTCCATCTGTGCCTGATATCCTGTTCATGAGGATGACAAACTGCAGTTGAGGCTAGATGTGCCCTTTATGGAGGCCAACACCCATTCTAAATGGATTTGAAGATGCAGGTTGTTTCTGTACAATTTCTTTACATCCTGTTGTCATTTGTTAAATATCATTGTGATCTGTTTGTGTGTGTTTGTATGTGTTTGCTATATGCAGCACAACAAGTTCAACGGCCAGCAGCTGTGATACAGACTTTAGCAAGGAAGATGAGCAGCGCCTGAAAGATTATGTCCAGCAGTTGAAGAATGACCGGGCAGCAGTGAAGCTGACCATGCTGGAGCTGGAGAGTGTTCACATCGACCCCCTAAGCCACGACATCAAGCCCCGCGGAGACTCACAGAGGCTGGACTTGGAGAATGCTGTGCTAATGCAAGAGCTTATGGCCATGAAGGTGAGATTCCTGACTGAGGGATCAGCTTGCGGCAGTGAAGGAGATCTCCAACACGACGGCACAGCAAACATCATGCTAGCATTAGCAGACTGCTGACTCAAGTCTGGAAATATTATTTCTGCTTGCAAATTGAATATGTCTTTGTTCCTTAGTACCGATTTAAAGTAATTTACCTCTTTCATTGTGGTGCAGTCTTGGGACCACTGTATATTTTTTAAACAATTCTGCATTTTTAAATACTGGTTTAATCTTGATTCTGCTGGCAGAGGCTACACTGAGGCAGGCTGCTTCCAGGCTCAGAGTTTCTAAGACAGCAGTACACAAAAACAAAGTGAAGCGGGAGATACTGGGAATGACCAGAAACCAGCCAAGTAAAGGGCTGAAGCGACTTCCTATTGCTGGAGATGACTGTTAACTTACCAGACAGTTTCTCATGAATTGTAGTATGATATCCAAGTGACTTTCAAAAGGAATAGAAAACAGGTATGAAGTGCACTGCTAAGACAGTTCATATCAGGCTCCTAGAGGCAGGACTGAAGTCCCATAAAGGAAAGAAGAAGCCCTTCATTATGAGAAACACATATATTGTTCACAGACACAAACACATAAATTCAGAAATAAGTGAAACAAAAAATTGTTTCATTTTGATTACAAACCAAAGCAATTTGCTGTTCTTAAAAAAAATTTGAACTTCCATGTTTCTTATTTCAATATTATCACATCAGAGCAGAGGGAAATGCATGCAAGATGATTGTTAGTTTAAGTGATGTGACAGACAATAGAGAAGATAATGCAGCACGAGCTGGTGGGCATTAATGAGTGGGCAAAGCTGTGGTTGTGGTCGAGATACAGGCAAGGGTCGATTCCAGCAACAGCTACAGGTACAGAAGGGGCAGACAAAAGGTCAGATCAGGTCCAAAACAAGGCAATCAGCAACCAGATCTAAATGACTAGGCAAAAACTGTGAACAAGGCAGGAATGAAAACCATGATAAGAAAACAGTATGAAACTGCTCAGAGGTAGACTAGCTAACAATCTCACAAGAAACTGAATGAGCAGGTTAGTATAAGCAAGGAAAGTAATGAATCTGGCAGATGCAAACAATTGAATGGGCAGGGTAATTCCAAAACTGAACAGCTGTGAATCTCTGAAAACAGGAAGGCGAGAGTAAGACATTCTGGGTACTGTAGTCTATGAAGCCTGGAGTGTGGCAAATGTATGCGATAGTAACGCATGTGACCTACGTGATGCTTTCTAGTAGCAATTGCTGTTAAATTTTTTATGTATTTTGAAACTTGTATGAATACTGTTCTCAAAGAATATTGATTCACTTTGTGCAAAGAATATGTTGCAGTCTATTTCATTCATTAATACTGGAACTATGAGGCTGGGTAATGCATTTGGGGGTATATTTAGAGAAGGCAGAGATTTTGTAAAATCATTGTTGGGAAATTTAAGTGTGATTACATAGCTGCCACAGTGTTTTTAATAATTCTATGCTGTATGCGTACATCAGAAGCAGTATGTCCTAAAGGAAGTTTAGCTGTGAGGGTTTGACAGTGTTTTTAATGATATACATGTGTACATCAGAGGCAGTGTGTCTTTAAGGAAGTTTGAGTATAATCGTTTGACAGTGTTTTTAATGATATACATGTGTACATCAGAGGCAG